GAAAACTGCCAATAACCCTTGAAAACGTCGAGGGTAAAGAACACACTGGCACCTGCGAGGTGATCCAAAATCACCTCCAGCATCGGCATCGGCCAAATGATGCGCTCCGTCTGTGCGTTCACTGGACGGACGTCCACAGTCATGCGAAAATCGTTCGCTTCGGGCATCTTGACAATTAATGGTGCCGAGCACCATTTTGACCGGGGATTGCGGTAACATAACCCCGCCGCCTGTAGCTCTTCAACGTGCTTGGGCATAAAGTCCCGCTGCTCCTTCTAATAGCGGCGCGCCTTGCACCGCACCGGTTCAGCGCCAGCCTTGAGCGTCATACGAAGCGGCGCCACGTCCACCGGCGGATCTCGGCCCAACGAAAGCCGAAACACGTCTTCGTAGCGCAATAACAGCTCCCCCAGTGCCGTAGCGAAATCCTCGCCGCATCCCGCGGCACGACATTCGCTGACCTTGTCCTTCAGCTTCGCGCGCACCACAGCTTGGTCGTTTTCTTTCGACCAATCAGGAGTCACTTGAGGAAAACATGCTTGTTCTTCCTCGGGATACAGCGACGCTTCTTCAGGCGATGATGGTATTTTTTCCATCGCTTCGATCACCTTCATGGCGGCCATTAACGGCGTGTCCTTGCCGCCCAACTGGTCCAGGTCGTACACCCTTTGCGCTCGCCGCGCATTCAGCAGCAACGAACGGGGACAATACCCGAGCTTCGCCATCACGTCGCGACTCACGATTAGGTCGCCCAGGCCGTCTTGTAGTGGCGCCGCCGCCACCCAACACTTGAGGTTCGCGATCACCAGCGTTCCTTCGGCCGTTTCAAAGGTCAGACGTAACTTGACGTCGCGGTCCACATCGAGCTTCATGCCTTCCATGAACCCGCCCAATTCCATCGCGTCGTCCAACTGTCGCACCGGCGACGTAAAATTGCCCGTTTCTTCCAGACGTGATAAAAACGTCGGCGACAACACCGATTGGTCAGCACCACTGTCGAGTAGTGTCGTCGCCTTGAGGCC